TGCTTGTCATTAATTAGGTACAGAATACATTTATTTTATTGTTTAAAAAATTTATTAACCCACTTAAGATCTTTTTTTTGTTTTAATTCAACATAAATCTGGGTGGAAAAGGGAACAAAGCATTGGTGTAACTTAAGTTTGCTTTTACTTAATATAGGTATATCTAAATGAGCAAAAGCAAAAAATAAGTAAGACAAGGGAGGGGGGAGTAGTAGTAGGAAGGAAAAATATTTGGAACAAGACAAACGTGGATTATATTCCTTTGATATCAACAATTATAGCGGCTTTGAATGAAATAATGAGTTTTTAAAAAGATATTTAGGAACGAAGGGTTTAGACTCTAAACCCATCTAAACTTTAGAGATAAATACTAGCAAAACGAAATTTATAGAATTTGGAGAAGTAAGGGGTAGGAAGGAATAAGGAAAGGAGGAAGCTAAATGAAAGGGTGAAATGATAGAGAAGGTTAAAAAATATACATATTTAGGATATGTAATAGCAAAATTATAGTGATAGAATACGTATAGGTAGATATTCAATTGGCGAAAGCGAGCTCGTTATTAGGAAGTATTTGGAGGATAGGACAAAGGTTATGTAAGAATGATTGGGTTGATAGTTAACATTTAAACAGTACAGCATTAAAGTTCAAAGAATTTCAGTATGATTAAACTGTAGATTTACTGTTTTCATTAATAGTATACGTATATTTTATTTTCAGGCAACTTCACCAATAGATTTTATTCCTCGTCAGGAAGAAGAAATAAACGAAGAAACAGCTCCAGTATATCTTACTCCAATATTTAATTCGTTTAATGCAACTGGCCTGATAAAATCAAACACGAATGGTACTCGTAACGTACAGAACTTGAAAGGATTTACTTTTAAAGAAATTCAAAAGACATCTCAGAAGGAGCACGGAAGTGAATATAATAACGAAACAGCACTTTGCTCAACCTGTACACATGAAGTCACCTTATTTACATCATTAGAGTCTGAGAATACTCCAGTTCAATTAAAGGTTAAACCAATTTCGCCGTACAAAAGTTCAACGTCTACTAAAAATTTGAAAAAGCTTCATTCAACAATTCCGAGTGATGCACAATGGCCGGTTAAAAAAGAAGCCCTTGTAGAGGGAGACATTATAGTTGGTGGACTAATGATGATTCACGAACGCGAAGATACGGTAGTGTGTGGTCCAATAATGCCTCAAGGAGGTATTCAGGCGCTCGAAACAATGCTTTATACTCTTGATGTGATTAATAATCCGTTAAACTCAATATTGCCGAACATTACCTTAGGTGCCCATATATTGGATGACTGCGATAAGGATACTTATGGCTTGGAAATGGCTGTAGACTTCATTAAAGGTATAATTTTAAAAAGTTTATTTAATATACGTACGTATTTCCAGCAACGTTGCTTTCCATATAAGCAATTCACATGAAGTTCTCTAAAACTAAAGCAAATAAAATCGTGAAACCCAAAATTCACCTCATTGCCTTGATTAGTGGGGAAGCGCAACCCCACTTAGTTAGGGAGCTTATGTCCAAAAGAAGAATGTCATCCTAAACTTCTGCCACCTCGTACATCAGCTTTTTAAGTAATTTAAAGCGTTTTTCTTATATGATATACAGGTGGAATTTGGAACAATTTCGAGATAGGGGGAGGGATCGAAACAGTAACCCCTTAGTTTTGAAGCTATAATTTACTTAAAATAACACCCCATATTCCGAGAAATGTAGTGGCAGTACGTTTGGTCGAGCCATATTCTATTTTGTTAGATCCGGTTAGTGTTGCCTTTTTTTATTCACTCAGGAGATTTTTCCCTCCCCCTCCTCTTATCCCGAAATTGGCACAGATTTCGTCTACATATCAAATAAGAATAATGATCTAACAAACCATGTGGTTGAAGGTTGGGACGACATGTTTTTTTTTGCGCGTCAGTCCCTAACTATACGGGCAGAATTGTTCAATGTCTTTGTAATATCAAATACATATATGGAATGGTTCCTAGCGTACGCACATTTATAGTGAATCGTGACGCTGTAACTATTTATGATCCTACAGCACTGGGTTTGTGATGTATCTCCTTTCATAAGACGAAATTGTAGAACTGCATGAATATTAAGACGTCTAATTAAAGAATCGAACTAACAATGCACCTACTTTCAGTATTCTAGCATCTTCACTTAAAGTTTGTAGCTTAATAATTTACAACATTTATTAATGTTTTTCAAGTCATATTTATAATAAAACATTATCAGTTACAAATTTAAAAAATAAATGTCGAACAAACGGTACCTAATTGGGACATTATTGTTTTATTTCAATTTTTTATTAATTTTCCATCAACTATAAAACTTTTGTTGCTGTTGACACAACCCCGCCGGGAATCGAATCCGGGACCTTTGGCTTTACGCATCAATGGTCTTACCACTAAGCTACGAGAAATGTAGTGGACGGAAAATTGAAAATGAATTTTCACATTAATATTTCATATTAACCACAATTAATAATTAAAAATGTCAGTGTTTCATACATTTAGTATATATAATTACATTAGTAAAAAATCGACTTATCTGTAACCTTGTAGGCTTGGTTTATCGTTGTTTAGTGGTCAGAGGATTGATGCGTAAAGCCAAAGGTCCCGGGCTCGATTCCCGGCGGGGATGTGACAACAGCAACAAAAGTTTTGTAGTGAATAGAAAATAGAAAATTAATTTTCACAGTAATTTTTCATATTAACCACCATTAATAATTAAAAACATCATCATCATTTTTTTTTGGGTTTTTTTCGGGATAACAGAAGAAAGAAACTCCAACATATATCAAGCACTAACTTTTTATGATCACTGCTACGTAAAATGTTTATACAAATTGTAGATCAATGACTGCGATCCCCGGCGTTGCCTTGGTAAGAATATACCATACGTTTCTTCTCATCATAGACAGTTAAGTATCCTTTTTTATCAAGGGTTATCTACCACCATAATCGTAAGTTGGGGAATAGTGGATAGATGTCGAGAAATGTGAGTGTATGTGCACGGACGCAATTGACTTTTGATGTATATGTATATAAATTTATCTGGGTACCAAAAGCACTGAATAAACTGTACGTGGGATTCACAGAACGGAAATAATTTAAAAATCTATACACCATTTTTTCAAGATAGCGGTTGAAGATTAAGGGGAAATTGCGACCCCGAAAGCTCAGTTTTCTACTCGGCAGACTTCCCTGCACATTCATAAAAATAAATTTGCTTCCTAACGAAAATGTTAAGCTAGTCTAGCCTTTAGGTATGTATTAGAGCCTTGAAGTGTAAATTTTCGCATTAAGGCGCCGTCAACCCCTTCTAGAAAGTTTCTTTTGATTTATGAATATTTATTCTTTTCTGAAGAATAATTTTTATATTCAAGAATATTATAATCAAGAATAAATTATTTTTAGTTTTAGTGTGCGTTAACAACATAATTTTGAAAATTTCGAAGGATGAGCGGATTTACGGTTCACATCCTGTTGAAATTCCAAACTTCTCCTTTGAGGGATTATAAGGATTGATTGAAATTATCATGCAATGCATTCACATTAAGTTTTAAGTTTGTCGGTCTACGTGTTCGAAACAGAAATTATTGTAGGTGTACATATTTATTGTGAAATACACACCACCTCAACACAATATTCAAACGAAAGTTACAGTTTTAATTTGCTAATAGGGTGCAAAATGCACTTAAACTAAATTGGACTGAATCTTTTGCGTGGTTACTAAAAAGTAACTGTTAAACCTTATAATAATTTATTTATTTATAACTAGCTGACCCGGCAGACTTCGTACTGCCTCAATCGATAAATAAAAGTCCTAAACTTTTGTATAAAATAAACTTGGTTGTCAAATGTCAAATATTATGGTTGTGTTCAGAAATTTAATTTGTGACAAAACTTAAGATTTATCAATCTACATAAAAATAATCTGAAAGATAGTTAACAACTTTCATATTTATTCACGTTTTAAACCTTCTCTGGACTGTCACAAGTAATTCAAGACCAAAATTAGCCAAATTTGTCCGTCCGTTCTCGAGTTTTAGCGAGACTAACGAACAGCAAATCATTCCTATATATATAGATTAATTGAATGGAGGACGCTTTCACACTTCCATAATCACTATCTTAATACTTGAACATTGACACTTTTTGTAGGCACTTATGTTTTTTCGGCATTTATTGTAAAAATTATTTGTGTATGTAGGCGTTAACGTAAAAAACGACGTAATCAAAGGTAGTGCATTGGTCGGGAATCGATCTGACTCCGCGAGGTAGGGCAGATACGAACACATCCGAAAACGTACAAATTCTTCCAACTGTAACAATTGTATTTGTGATTCTTTTAAAGTAGGTATCAATAGTTGAGGATAATTCATCCGTATTGCCAGTGCTTTGTGTAACATGCATAGGTCTGTAAATAAACGAACTTGCAAATATCTGCCAAACTAGTACTTTGGCCTTTTTTATTGTTTGTTCAGTCAGTAAATGAAAATACATTGTTCATTTAGAAAGACTATATAAAAAATCTATTGTTTCAAGCTAAACATATTCAGTGCAACGATAAAGTATAAACCCTGTTTATGGGGTCACGAATGTATTTCGAAATGAGACATTTAAATCGATCACTTGCAGATACAACATTGTTTAGAAAGCGAAAAATGTTAAAAACAGGCTCACCCTTTTCTCGTCAAATTAATACAAGAAAAAAACATTGATGTATCAACTTGAACTTGACCGTTTTCTACAGTGGTACCTAACTCCGTTGAGCAATTTTACTACTGACTTTGCTGAGTGACATTTTAGAAAGTAATGTATATGTTCTTAATTGGGTAAAAACCCAAAAAGTATCCAAAACTAGGTAGATATCTTACGCTTATTTAGATATTGAAACAAGTACAAATGTATTCTTATTGCACCTCTTATACGTCAACACCATGTCCCAATTTTTTACATGCGAATAACATTGCTTCCTGCATAATTTTCTTTGAACCGTTTGTTCTTGAAATGTGTAATTTGTAATTTATTCTACTGAAATATTAGGCCAATTCCGTAAATATAATAGATATCTGTCATAGTTTACTAGGTCATTTTTTTATTAATTTACAAATTTCCCATCAGTGTCATTGGAAACAAAATTAAAAGATTTCTGTCAGCAATATGTTTGGCGTCATTATTTTCTAAACAAAGACTTGACAGTTTAATAATAAATAAAGTTGATGCTTAGTAACTACCGTATTGGTTGAAATTAAAGATAATTAAAAATGAGGGTGTCGGTAGGTTAGGTTAGGGACCGAAACCCTCATTTGTAATTATTTTTAATAATACATTGCCAAAACGGTTTCACCACTCTAATTGATAATATTTGACCGAATATTTGTTAAACTAGTACTTGAAAAGAAACTTTTGGGTGTTTCATTCCCACCAGCCAGTAATGCTGATGGGCGGGTAGTCACTCCAGACTACGTCGGAAGGTAGGACGAAAGGCTCTTTTCAGCCTCCTTTCAGGAATCGGGTGAGAAAGATGAGACGGACGAAATGAAGACAGAAGAGAATGAAAGATTATCTGTGAAATAAATATTACTGCCCCAGCATTTGCCTAAGTGATCCAAGGAAACCACAGAAAAACTTGGACCAAGGCAAACGGACCCGGAATCGAACCGGCATCCTCCCGAATGCTAAGCAATAGTCTAAACATTGTTGATTATACTCGGCGACATTCAACGCTCGCAAACCTGTCTCAACTATACAAACAATCAACAAAAATGTATACATTATTCTGCATTTCCCACCAGCCATATTCATTGGGTGAAAATAACAAAGAACGCTCTGTACATGTAAAACCAATATTTACCGGTAATACGTCATTTAATAAATTTAGAAACCAAATGAATAAAGTAATGCTCCTTCAGACACTGCAGGTAATCATTTATCCATTCTCAAAGGCGAAAGGACTTGAAAATAAGCATTGGCACCCCACTATACGCACCACGCTTTTAAATACTCGTATATATCATAGCATGTGACATTTATTCCAGAATAAAAATTTAAGCAACATGGCTGCTTATATTAAGCACGTGTAATAGATCTGGATGAAGTGTAGACCTAGTAACCTCATTTCTCTTAAACGCTTAATCCATAGTTTACCGTGCCAAACATTTTTTGTGAATTCTTTATTCCTCTAATGGATGCCTGTACGATAAAGTGAAAGAACGTGAAAAGCGGGAGAATGGTGAGTGGTAAATGTAAAGTATGCTAGTAGGTAAATGATTTAACTCACATTCTCAAAAGGTACATCTTCCAGGTGAATGACAAGGCATAATACTAAAGCATTTTCGAAGCACTTGTAAGAATATAAATAAGTGCAGACAAGCGTAAAGAAAATTCGAAGGAGATGAAAAATTGCAATAAATCCTACTTAAGATGTCCTTCAATCCATAATTTATTAGCAGGTACCCTATATAAACAGATAACAATCATACAAAGTACAGTATTAACCATAAATAAATTTAAAAAAAACAGGTGCAACCCAGTAACGTGAAAGAAGTGAAACATCTTTGGCGATCTCTGTACCTTTATAACGAATATGTAATGTAAGAAAGAAAGAGTAGGATAATTTTCAGGATTTATTTTTTCCAGCATATTTTATCTTTAGTCAACCTAAGGAGTATTACTTTAATACGTTTTTATGTAATTCAATAACAAAACAATGGTCAAATTTTTTTCGCTTCCGTTTATATTTCCAAGTGTTTAAGAAACCGTAAACTACCAATAACTACAAGGAAATAGAATTAATACATAATAATACTCACTCTTAAATAAATATTAATTGTTGTTAAATATACATTTTGTGTAACACACTTACTGTAATATAACTGCACAGATATAACCAAAAAATTAACTTAGGATTATAGTATAGTGAATATACAGTATATTATAATATATGAGATGCCGGTCACTATCAGCTGACTGTAATACCGATATGCGCATGCGCGCTTTTCTATTCCCATAGCCTATCGCGTCGCGAGACGAAACATTGCAAAACGTGTCGTTTCATGGCCTTGAGATTTTATTCCCATCGAGCCCAAAGAAGTTTCTCTTCAAAAAGGGCTTTGTAATGTTCCCAGAAATGTTATTACAATATTGTTTCAACTTTAACCTTTCTCTAAAGTGCATCAGATATCACGACTAT